TGTGTGTGTGTGTGTGTGTGTGTGTGTGTGTGTGTGTGTGTGTGTGTGTGTGTGTGGAGGCGGGGGGAGGGGCAGCGCCGAGGAAGCCGCGCTCAGTCAGCCGGTGTCCCACAATCCCCCTCTTCGTGCCTCTTTCCTCGCTCAAGATGGCGCTGCTCGCAGTACAGTCTTGGCGTTGGGCAGCCGCCGCGGCTGCTTTCGAAAGGCGCCGGCGCTCAGCGATTTTGATCCAGCCTGTGGTCACCGTCCTCGGCTCACATCCTCAGTGGCAGTTACGTCCGCGCGGCGCCTCAGGAACGGCTCGAAACTACCGGGTGAGACGCCGGTCCCGTGGAATTGTAGGGTGAAGGACGAGGAGACCTACTAGGGAAAGGGTTGCCCTCGTGACCTCAGGTCAGAGAGAGCCCGTTCAAGAAGCGCCAGGGCTAACTCCAAGCCACTGTTAAGAGAAGGAAATTAGGGTTAGGAGTTTGAGGAAGGGGTGAAGAAAGCCCATAGGGTCAGCAAAGAGGAGCAGAGGGGCACCTGGAGCGCCGAAGTAGCGCATACTATTAAGAGATGGGGCAGGCAACATTCCCAGCCTGCTTATATTTCTAAATGTGAAGACTGGGCTACTTTCCAAAACTAGTAATGGAATGTTATACCAAATTGCCTGTGGTTCAGATTTTAGTCGAAAGTAGGATGTTGGAGCGCGCTGTTAGATGACAGCAAGGCACCTATAAACGGGAGGCAGGTGAACTGGCAGCGGTCAACTCTGTGGCTCACAGGCACGCTCCTTATTGATAGATGAAACTGTAAATGACTTTCTCTCCAAAACGTACACTGGCCGGAATTTATACAGAAATACGACGATCCTTTGAGCAGAATATTCAGTAGTGTTATGTGTGCACAGGTAATTTTGGAAGTTGGAAGAATGCTTTTCTTTTAGCTTATGAATGTAGCTGTGGTTACACCACTTTGTTGTTGTTTTGTCTCACTCAAGAACAGTTTTTGAAAAATTACCTGTACTTGCTCTATCATTTTATTTCCCATATATTGAAAGGAAATTTAGTTGCCACAATTCATCAATATTACTTTGAAGTGTAGCATCGCCAGCTTTGGAAAACCTCTTACATTTTAATTTTTGTAAACATTTAATGTCTACTACTGTGCTCCTAACGTTGTGTTAGATAATAGCATATCAAGAGAAACATGCAGTCATGCCTTCAAGAATTTTATAGTTTTTAAAATTTAAAGTTTTAGCTGCTGATAAAGCTCAGCTGCTCAATGTTTGCCTGGCAAACACAAGGTCTTGAGTTCAATTCCTGGTACAAAAAAAGCCACTTAGTTTTAATTGAACACATGATGGCCTATATTTATGGGGGTATAGTTATTTTGCAATAAATATGTATAATTTGTAATAATACTAGGTTAATTGGTGTATCTGTCTCCCCAAACATTTGCCATTACTATGTAGCATTTTTAAAAATTTTTTTATTTATTTATTTACTTGTGTGTGTGTATGGCCAGCTCAGCCCACCAGGGTGCGGGGCTGGCTGGCATGTGGTGTTGGGGGATTGAACCTCGGTCCCTGTGCTTTGCTAAGCTTGTTCTAAGTAGGTGCTTTAGACCACTGAGCCATCTCACCAGCCCCATTACTATGTAGCATTATGTGACAGAGCTGAAAGAAATCTTAGTGTACTGTTAGCAAATCATGTTAATGGGTTCGATCAGCACTTTTTCTTAGGTGAAATTCAGTAGAATATATATGGTTCTTACATATTAGAAGTATTTCATGAACATATATAAACACACTCCCACATAGATATACTTTCTGGGATGCATTGTAAGGTGAATTTTTGACTCATAATAGTGCCCTAAAACTGTGCTGTGCAAAATAATATGCTCATTAAAATTAAAAAACAGCTGGTGTGTTGGTTTATACCTATCATTCCAGCACTTGTGGGCTGAGGCAGGAGGATTGGTGGGAGTTTGAGGTCAATCTGGACTACACAGTGAGCTCAAAGGCAGTCTGAACTACAAATCGAGACCGTCTCAAGAAAAAAATATTAAAGAACAGCTGTCACACTTAATAGTGGCTATTAAAAGGATTTATGGAGTTTGATATAGTTTTGTATTTAATTTATTAATATATATTTTAAAATTTTATTTATTTATTTATTTGTGTGTGTATATGGCCAGCTCAGCCTGCCTGGGGGCAGGGCTGGCTGGCACATGGTGCTGGGGGATTGAACCGCGGTCCCTGTACTTTGCTAAGCTTGTTCTAAGTAGGTGCTTTAGACCACTGAGCCATCTTACCAGCCCCTTAACTTATTGATATTTAAATAGTAGAAGCTGAGGTACCATAATTTTTCTCAGCTTCTTTTAGCTGAGATTAAGGAGTCCTTGACTATATTTATCATGGTATTGTTCATATACTTCTCTAATTTTTTTGTGTGTTTTTGAGACGAGGTCTCACTATTGCATTTCTGACTGGCTTTGAGCTTACTTTGTAGCCCAGGACTCTCAGTGCTCCTCCTGCCTCAGCCTCCGGAGTGCTGTGATTGCAGATTTGTGCTACCATGCCCAGCAGTATTCTAATTTTTAAAAAATCTTTTTTTTTTTTTGCGGCACCAGGGATTGAACTCAGGACCTTGCGCTTGCCAGACAAGCACGTACTTATCCTACTGAGCCACCTCTTCGGCCCCTAAAAAATCTTTTTGAACATTTTTAAACATCATATACCATATAATTTACCTGCTTAAATTGTGCAGTTTGGTGGATTTTAATATGTTCAGTGATGTGTACCACCATTGCCACAATCAATTTTACATTTTTATCACCTTTTATCTGTCATCTTTTTGTTTTTTCTTATACTGGGAATCAAAACTAAGGACCTTATGCTTGCCAGGCAGGTGCTGTGCCACTGAGCTTTCTCCTCAGTTCTGTCAACTTTTTATATCTTTTTTGTGTCCCTTAGCTCTAAGCAACTACTAGTCTATATTCATTTTGTATATATTTGTTCTGGACATGTCATATGAATCCCTTTAACTAGTATGCTCTCTTTTATGGATGGCTTCTTTCACTTAACACTATGTATTTAAGTTTTTTTCTTATTAGGGAATGTTTGAGTAGTTTATTTCTTATTAGGGCCAAGTAATAGTCTGTGTGAGAGTACAATCTTTTTTTTTTTCTTTTTAGGACAGAGTCTACAGGGTCTCACTATGTAGATCAGACTTGTAGTTATCCTCCTGTTTTCAACCTCCCAAGTTGTGTATGAGTACAATATAAAAGATGTTCTTCATACATTCATCAGTTGAATGGTTGGTTATTTCTATTGCTTTACACCATTTGGTTCTGATGAATAATGTTACAAATATTAATATCTATATTTTGTGTGGACATAAGTCTGGCCTTCCCCCTGCCACCTTTTTTTTTTTTAAAAGGAGTCTTGCTATGTAGCCCAGGTTGGCCTTGAACTTGTGATCTTCCTGCCTTAGCTTTCCATGTGCTGAGATTGCAGTCAGGTGCCACAACACCCTGCTATGTTTTTCTTTTAGGTATACATACTTTTTACTTCCATAAGAGTAGAATTGCCAGGACACATGGTAACTTTACATTTACTTGTTTAAGAAACTGCCAGACTGGTCTTCATAGTGGCTTTATGCCTTACATTACTGCCAGAAGTTCATGAGGATTCCAGTTTCTCACACTTGACCTGATTTTGATTCTTGTCATCATACTGGGTGTTAAATGGTACTGCATCTTGGTTTTTGTGTTTCGTTTATGACTAAAACTATTGAGTATCTTATCATGTATTTATTGACCATTTGTATATCTTTAGAGAAATATCTGTACCTTGCCTATTTTTAAATTGTATTATTGGGTTTTTGCATTTTGGTGCAGAAACTTAACTCAACCCCCCCCCCCCACACAAAGCATGAGCTCTATCACTGAGCTGTGCTCAGGGTTGTTAAAATCTTTATTTTTTTAATGATTTGTAAAAGTTCTTTATATATTTTGGTCACAACTGTCTCTTATCAGGTAGATAATTTGCAAATGTTCTTTTTCATTATATGGGTTTTTTTTTTAGTTTCTTGATAGTGTCCTTTGAAGCATGAAACTTCTTCATTTTAAGTGATTATTAAGGTCAGTGTTTGCAATTTTTTTCTGACTGAGGCCAGCTCCTTGGAGTATTTTCTCTCCTCAGTTTTCTGTTACCCTGAGGCAAACTAGTTTATTTACACTTTATTTAATATAAGGTTTGTAGTGGTAAGGCAGATGTTTAGCATGTGCAAGGCCCTAGCCTGGATCCCTTGTACCAGGGGTTTTGTTTTGATGACCTGAAATTTTATGTTTTTCTTTTTCTTTCTTTTTTTTTTTTTTGCGGAACCAGGGATTGAACTCAGGTACATGTGCTTGCCAGGGAAGTGCTTATTCCACTGAGCCACCTCCCCGGTCCCTTATGTTTTTCTTTTGTTGTTCGTACTTTTGGTGTTTTATTTAAGAATCTGTTGCCAAATCTGAATCATGAGAGTTTACCCATATTTTTTGCTAAGTCTTTTATAACTTCATTCTAGTGAAATAATATAAACATTACTTACATATAGTTCTATTCCTCCTTTTGTTGTTTTATTTTTACGTATCACCAAGTGTTACAATTCCAATATCTTACCGTAATTATTTATATAATGTCTTTTGTTATGGTATCGGGTGTCAAAATCAGGACCTAGTGCCTGCGAGGCAGGCACTGTGCCACTGAGATATCTCCCCGGCTATGTAATGTCTTTTAAAGAAGTTGAGAGAAGAAAAGAAGTTACATGACCTTTGCTATATTAACTTCATTAGTTTTTTTGTAAGTGATGTCAATCTGGAAGTATTTCCTTATCCTGACACAGCTGTTTTCCTACCCATCTCCTTTTCATGTCATTGGCAAATATACTGTATCTGTATGTCATAGTAGGAAAATATATTGTATAGATATCCAATGTGGATATGATTATTTTATATAATTGACTTTTAAGTCAGTTCAAAGAAGAAAGTAGAAAAACATTTCTATTGTCTTGTGTAATTACTTCATTACCATTTCTAATGCTCTTTGTTTTTTTCTGTGTGAATTTAAATCACAATCTTGGTGTCACTTGCTTTCAGTCCTAAGAACTTCATTTAGTTATTTCTAATGAGGTAGCTCTTCTAGCAATAAACTCAGCTTTTATTTGGAAATGTCTTTATTTCACTTTCATTTTAGAACAGTATTTTTTCTGTATATAGGATTTTTTTGCTTGACAGATTTTTTTTTTTTCATTTGAGCATTTTTGAAAGTTAACCCATGGAA